TCTCTCTCTCTCTCTCAATCTCTCTCTCTCTCTCTCTCTCTCAACCTCTCTCTCTCTCTCTGCCCCTCTTCCCTGTCCATGTTCTCTCTCTCTCAAAAAATAATAATAAAATGAAATAAAAATAAAATAAATGGCCCAAGTCTGACTCCCCCTGTAAAACTTACCAGTCTCAGTATTCTTAGGCAAGTTGCTTGGCACCCAGAACATCAAGGATATAAGTATACTCAGGTTTTATTATGTCTTCATAAAGAAATTTTCAGTGGATACTTCTTAATATCCATTAAAAGTGATGTTATAAGGGAAAGGATAAACCTATTAAACAGGATCTATTAAAAGTGATAAATTATAGGGGAAAGGATAAATATGGGGTAGACAAAGGATATGAATGAAAAATCATAATTTATGCCTTTATATTAACTTTGAAGCATTAGAAATCTACTTCAACTTGTATTTAAAAACTAATCAATTAAGTGAGTTGGAAAGTGGCAACTTATGCAGATGTATGCTCTAACACTCTAAAAATACCTTACATTTCCTTTCATCAGTGAAGTCATAACCTTTTTGCTTCATCATAAGGGATCCTTAAGAGGAATTTGTACGTACTTAGCGATAGGGAAGGAAATGCCGGTGGAAGGGAATGTATACAGCAGTTCTCCTTTTTCTAATTGTTATCTTGAAATGTAAATAAGTTTAGAGGTGCCTGACTGGATTCAGTGAGTAGAGCATGTGACTTGATCTTAGAGTGGTGAGTTCGAGCCTTGTGTGGGGCATAGAGCTTATTTGAAAAGTAGATTAAAATTTTGTGTATTTTAATGTTTTAATGTTTATTCATTTTTGAGAGACAGGGCATGAGTGGGGGAGGGGCAGAGAGAGAGGGAGACACAGAATCGGAAGCAGGCTCCAGGCTCCGAGCCGTCAGCACAGAGCCCCACACGGGGCTCAAATTCATGACGTGAGATCGTGACCTGAGCCGAAGTCGGATGCCCAACCGACGGAGCCGCCCAGGCGCCCCAATGAAACTTTGTAAATGAAGAAGCGATTTCTAAAATGTGAATAAGTTTGTTTCTTCTAATTGAACAAATACGACCGACTCTCGTACTTTATGGCTCATGTGAAAAAAGGAAAGCGAATTACAGACCCCCAGTGAACAGGATATGTGAAAGATTATAAATCTTGCTGGGTCACAGTTGAGATAATCCTCTCTGAAACGATTTTGACTCAAGAACGTGTCCGACTTTACGCCAGTGACATGTCACACTAAAGCGAAGATGGCACCGGCTGTGTTTGTATCATACCTGTTCTGTTGGCTGATCGCAGAAAGCCTGGGACAGACATAGATGTCAGGTGCCAGCATCTTGAGGACATCAAGAAATGACATGTCCGACCACAGTTACAGTGAAAACTCTGTTCTGAATGGCCCAGTGTTAGAGGCTAAGAAACCTTAACATTTTGTGGTTTATGTATAAATTATTGGAGCTTTACCATTTACTGTTTTATTTCTTAACATTTACCAAAGAATCAGGAGAAATTGAAAATCCTCATGGATATAAATGATTCAGTAGGCCACAGGGGGACTTTTTTGTCCCGACAGTCTGGATTTATTTTTTTTTTTTCTTTACCATTTTGCTAATCCTTTGCTCTCATGGGATGATACATTTATCCATTTGTGATGAATTTCTGACAGACTTTTGTGATTACCTCATTACTGCAAATACCTAGCACTACCTAAAGGAACCTGTGGTTTGTAACCAGTTTGAGTTTAAAACAGGTGCATTAGTGGCGCTACTTTATGAGTTTTGTATTATGCATAAACAGAAATAACAAGGAAATGACACCGCAGGAGCCCATTCCCTTGGCAATATTTCAGAGCACCATGGGGATCCTGGGAGAGAAGTAGAAAGAATATGTTAGACTCTTTTGACACATTCAAGATGTTTTCTAAACCAGCCATAGATTTTTCCATAACTAGTTTGTCATGTCCTGCAACTTAGCTGCTATGATTTTTAATCACATTAATTATATGATTCTTGAGATATGATATTAGTGTATTAATTATACTAATTCTTGTATGCGTGTATTGGAATCAGTATATAAAATCCTGAGGGGCAGGAGTTGAACCCGCTTACGTCCCAGTGGGATGGAACAGGAGAGAAAAGTAACAGGAGCCTTCAAGTAAGCAGGCCAATAGGTTGCAGCATTGAAATTTTCTGAATCTCTATGCTTTGCTTTAGGTATACAGATGTAAACTTGTTTTCTCATGTGTTTAAAAAATTACAAAGGGTAGCCCTTGCAAAGATCGTTTCCCTGTTACCCCTGAACTGGCTTTTCCTTCGAGCATGTCATAAGACACCCACAGGCAGCTAGAGTTACAAGTGGATTCCCCCCACTCAAGACATTCATTTAAGTGTAAGGCTTTTTATTTTCCCATGAAGCACTTGCACACAAAGGGAGAAACTCTGAAATACGTGTTTTTCCCCCGTTAAACCTCCATAAACTGATTGTTCTACACCTTGAGCAAAATGCTTATAGTGATGTCTACAGTACCTGTTGCTGCCTCTTCTAGAAGCTGAGTTCGTTCTCTGTATATTCCAGTTGCCTGGAAACATGGCGTTCCTTTCCACCCCAACTTGAACCATAAAATATCAAAGAATTCACAAAGGAGCAGTGAAAACTATCTTTGCCCAAATTTTGTGCGTACGGCCCTGTAGCTGTGTTACATCAAAAATTGAACTCTCTCCAGAAGGAAGTTGAGCCAAGATTGTACAGGATTGTTAGGCAAAACTTCAGAGTTGCAGTAATGATTCGAATACATCTTGATTTTCTGATTCTGTTCAACATATCTAATATGCTACTGTTAGAAAAAAATGTGATTCAAAAACTCTTGTCCATTAAATGCCATTTAAAACCAGATGGCTTTGCTTAGAATTAATTGTTTGAGCGTGTTGCGTAAACAAATTGGTTTATCGTGATGTTTGATGTTGTTGAATATGGAAATTATGGAAATTTTATTTGTATATGGGTACGTAAGAGTGAAGCATGAGAAGCTCTTCCTTGTAGATCAAGGACAAGATAAAATGAGCATTATCAGCACTTTTGTTCAATGTGCAACTGAACGCCACAATCATTACAGTAAGGCAAGAGAACTATCTGGGAGTCATGAGATAGAACAGTGATTATATAGGTAAATCTGGAAGAAACACATTTGTATCTCTAGAAGAATTAATGAAATGTGTATGTGTGTATGTATGTATATAATGGGACATATATAATGGGATATATATATTCATATAATGGGATAATATGTAAAGTGAGGAAATGAACTTCAGCATTGTGTATTAACATGGGAGAATTGGAGAAATCTCAAATACAATACCCCTCAAAAGAAGCAAGTCGCCGAAGAATACATGTGGTATGCTCGCATTTTTATGAGGCTCAACAACAGGAAAATATCTGGTATTTATGCCTGGAATGAGTTTTGAGGGCACGCAGGCACACACATTATATGATAGACATTAGAAAGGGGATCATGACCATGAGATGCACGGCAGACATTTTGGGAGAGTGGGTTAGGACCCGCGGTGGAGAGAGACTCTAATTTACTCCCATGTTACACAGAAGGTTCAATGATCAGATCCTACTCCTAGAAATCCTACATCTTGACCACACTGAATTTAATTCATGGCTCAAAGAGTGCAGGCAAACTTCAAGCTCAGAAAAAACGTTCCTACCCTGTACGTGTCCCAAGCTAGCAGATACGTTGCCTAAAGTGCCCTCATTCTCCTTCAGGAGGCATTTTGGTTTGGGAATAACAGGACCAAGTTTTGAGTGCTATGTGAGGAACACTGTTAGAAAGGAGAAATGCTGGGGCGCCTGGGTGGCGCAGTCGGTTAAGCGTCCGACTTCAGCCAGGTCACGATCTCGCGGTCCGTGAGTTCGAGCCCCGCGTCGGGCTCTGGGCTGATGGCTCAGAGCCTGGAGCCTGTTTCCGATTCTGTGTCTCCCTCTCTCTCTGCCCCTCCCCCGTTCATGCTCTGTCTCTCTCTGTCCCAAAAATAAATAAACATTGAAAAAAAAAA